CCTCTCTTTGACCCTTTTTACGTCGGTCTGAAAAATTTCCCGACGTAAATTTACGCTTATTCACATAATAAATAACTCTTTTCATTTGAATAAAATCTTGGGATATTACAGTTTTCTCATTAATGATGAACACTCAACCAAAACACATACCATTTATTTTTCACTTCAAAAGGAGAAAAATTTGAGCATGTCAGATTTTTGTTTTCAAAAACTGCTTTAATTCTTAAAAACGCGAAGAAAAACGCTCATGTCTTACCACATACAACACGACTCCAACTCACATCCTTCAACTAGAACCACTAAATAGAAAAAAGATGATGAGAAAATACCTGTTATTAGTTGTATTTTTTTTAACACTATTTATTTGGAAATGATTTTAAACCTTAATAGATTTTGAGAGAGAAAAAATGATTGTTGAATAAGAATACATTATTTTAGAAAGCAACTTTTAAAACCAAAAATCGAGAGAAAATCATATAGACTCCTTACTATGACGAAGAAACTCTTAGAACATATAGATTCTTTATTATAAAGAAGAAACTTTTCGTGAATTTGAACTTAACTTAATCTTATAAAATCAATTTGTAAGGTGAGAGTTGTCTTCTCACTTATATTATCTTTAATTATCTTATCTTTAATTGATATGAAAGTTGGATTTTTTTCTAATACATCATGTCTAACATTATTAGGATTAGTATGTGAATAAATAGTGAATGACCATTTTTAATGATCTAAGATAAGTGGGACTTGAATTTTTCTAATACACCTCCTCACATCCAATACTATTAGGCTTGGTGCGTATATTAATGGTGGGTAGTCTATTTAGAGTGAATTTAGATAATTTTATTATCATCTTTGAAAGTGAATTTGAGTCTAATTCAACCCTACAAAATTAGAGGTAATATAAATGGATGCATCAAATAATTTTTTTAGGCAAATCATAATGAATCAGATAAAAATAATCCATTAATCCATTTAGATTCATTAACAATTCAAATAAAAATCCAATTCATTTAAAGAAAAGAAAATTCATTCAATCCATCCATTAACAATTTTTTTCATAGATGGAAGAATCTAATCCATACATCAAAGTAATATTTTTAAAATTAAATAATTTTTATTTTTGAGATATTTTATTTTTCTCTTTTTTCTTTACAATTCATTGTATTCTTATATAATCTTTTATAATTTGCAAGACCTTTTTTATGTCAAAATAATCTTTTAAAATCACAATTCAATAAACATCTCATATTGTAATCTAATGAATTTTGAAAAAAAAAAATGAATGAATCACTAACCATCTATAAAATTAAATGGATGAATTGGATCCGATTCATTATTTATTTTTATTGTAATGGATAGATTGAGTGAATTTACTTATAGATTGATCAGATAGATGATACATAAATGAATTAATTTGTCACTCCTATATAAAATTAACTTGTAAGATAAAGATTGACCTTCACTTATATAATTTTTAATAACTTTATTTCTATTTAATGTAAAATTTAGATTTTTTTTCAATAAAGACCGACCAAATAATTCAAGTATAATATGTTGAAAGTTTTTGTTTGATAAAAAAAACGACTATTGAAAGCAAGAAATTATTTTAGATATCTAAATACTTAATTATTTTTAATTAATAAACACACGCGCACACTTGCATATAGTAAAATTGTCATTCAAAGAAAGTTATTGTAACTCTAGAATTGTGCAACTAGCACATCTACCGACTAACCACCCATTAGTTGATTCATATTAACACTTCATGGTTACTACTAGATTTTAATCTTTTAGCAACATTTTCTTGTTTACATTTGTTAAAATGTTACTATATATTAAATAAATGTTATTTTGTAACACTTTTTTTTTTTTAAAATATCATTATAGATAGAGTAATATTTTTTATTTCAATATTATTCTTTCTAATTGTTTTCAAAATCAAAGTCTCATATCGAGTAAAAAAATTTACATAAGTTATTTTGCAACATTTTTTTGAAAAATATTACTATAATTGCTTCTAAAATCAAAGTCCCACATCGAGTCAAAAAAAATATATTTCTCTTATATCTAATTGTAACTCATAATTAAAGTCCCACATCGGATAGATTAATGACTTATAAAGGATATATATACTCATATAGTTATATTTAAAATAAATGAAAACTTAAGGAACTCTTAGAAGTTTAGGAGACATAAAAATATAATAATTGATAGTAATATTTAAATTAAAATTAATTTTTATTTTATAAGATTAACAAAATATTGGCAACATCATTAAAATGTTACAAAAAATTATTAAAATGTTACAAAAATACTACTTTGGTAACATTTAAAAAATGTTACCTAATTATGCAAAAATGTTATTAAAAGTCTTTAGTAACATGGACTATATACAACATTTGATAATATGTTGCTAAAACAAATTAGCAACATTTATACAGAATTAAGTAACATTTTTCAAATGTTACTAAATACCATTTGTGTTGTAGTGGCAACTTTTACAAATCTTATCTTCTTTCTCATGCGTGTGCCTTGTATGTTTCTTCATGCATACAAATTTTGAGTTAATGCAACCCATTTCCCCCAACTTAGGCATGATAGACACTTACCATATTCAACTTGGAACGGTGGGTTAAGAAATTAACTAAGATCGGGGAAACTTAGTTAAAATATCAACAATTTGTCTCTGTTTGGAAAGAGGAATTAACTTAGTTAAATCTATTAGTTGGGTGCCTTTTCTGTTACCAAGTTTGACAAAAATATTATAATTGGTGGAGTTGTCATCAATCTTTGTTTTATGACTTTAAACCACATTTATTTTAATCATTTGGAAATTGCTAAAAGTTTTAAAGGTAATGCACATATAGTAACCTGGATCTCAACTCTCTGGTGATTATAATTGTGTCGGAATGAGAAGATATTCAAAAAGATTAACCCATAAGTGGTTAAAGTGTATGAACTGATCAAAATCAAGGCATGGAGATAAGTTAAAGCAAAATATAAGGATGTGCTATTCTCCTTTTACCAATGTCCAATGCCAGGCACAACTAATCCTTTGCTTAAAGGATATTTCCTGATATATGTTTTCTGTAATCTGATGGTGTAATAACTTAGTTGTATTTTACATACTTGTTTTTCTGTTGGACCATGTTGCTGCTATTATGCAATAATGATTTTTGTTTTATTTTCGAATCTTGTAATCACTTTTGGTGATTATAAATTTTTTTCTGATGTATGAATTAATAAAATTACACCTTTGCCTTAAAAAAAACATTAAATCATTGTGTTATTAGAAATTTTATTTCTAATAATTATTGTAGGCTACATATATTATTTGTAGTATTTATATTAGTTATTTACATTTAGTTGGTCTCAATAAAAGTGATTTAATTTTAGTGAGTCTTTATACTGCCAACAAGAAAAAACTGATATGGACCCAAATAAGTAGAAATTAGATTTGGCCCGTTAGGGGTTAATGGGAACCTTAATAGGTTTAAAATCGTAAAGATGGTCATGGTCCCCAATATGTCAAATCAGAAACACACGTTTCTCTGTCTCTCCATCAGAAGAGTAACATCAAGTCCCGTTAAGGAATCCAGTAATTTGGCTGAAGAAGATCATTGCATCAAAAAACTATTCTGCTGCAACCTTTTGATGAACGTCAATGGATACAAATACATGTTATTAACATTAACTCTGTAATCTGAGACAACAGTTATATTAATATTGATTAATAGATAATTTCTATTTGGCTTAAGAAATTTATCTTAACATGTGTGAGTTCCAAACTTTGGGATAACATTGTCCAAGTATTTGGTCTTCTCACTAAATACTTGGTTTGCAACAAAGTGAAAGGCGCATTCATTTTAATTTGTAGTGGGGAAAATGATGCACGTAGGATATATTGATGTATATTTTCAAGTATGTTAGCCATTCGAGTTCATAAGTTGCAAAAGCATGAGCATAATATTCAAGTTTCAATAAAAAGTTTGATATGCACGATGCATTATTTTTCAAAGTACCATGATATGAAAAATTAAACCAACAAAAGAGAATATAGCTAGACTAATTAGTGAGTGTTGAGCATCCTCCACAATTTATGCCATGGAAGTAAAGGATTTAAATTTATAAGTTTTGAGGAACGCATGAACTTGAGCGAACCTATAAGTTAGAAATGTAGCGGTGGGATTTTCATACTTTTTTCAATTAGCTTGGTTAATCATGTAAAAAGATTGTTAAACTTTTACACTAATTATATTATGAAAATTGAACAAAGTGAGGAATGTCAAATCGAAGGTACAAATGTTGAATTGATACGAATTGTAGTGTAACGAAAATAATAGGAAGTTCCACGAGATAAAATGTTTCAAAGTAACTAATTTAAAATCTTTTATTTGATTTCACCTCTTACAACATGACACGCCTTATATTTTTTTGTTGGAGTGAACATCTAAATTGATCTTTAAATTTGAAAAATGCTAATATATTAATATATATTTCAAATTATGAAATTATTAACTACATCATTGAAAGTACAAATTTACAATTATAATAGTCTAAAATTTTAAAAAAAAATATATGTTACTAGAATAATAATATTAATATATAATCAAGAACCAAAAATGATAGTAATTAAATATTTAATTTATGATTTATTTAATATTTTAGAGACTTATTTGATAATTTCTTAATTTCAAAGATCAATATGATAGCATCTTCCAAATTTAAAGACTAAAGTAAATGTTTACTCCTTCTTACCGGATCTCTTCTACATTTTTTGATTAAATCTGCTTAC